TGGGTACTGTACTTTTTTCCCTAAGAAATTTTATTCATAGGAGAAATGTTAACCTATATATTAGCATCAACTGCTGAGGTAGCAGTATATTTAGTTCAGTAGTTTTATGTCGGACATGTGTTTTGGGCACTCATGTAGAGTTTTTTAAGTCGTTTTTCTGTTCTGAAATATTCAGTAGATATTCCTCTTTAATTCTCTCGGCTTATTTTCTTATCTAGAAGAAATATTCGAAAAGTGTAAATCAACAGACCCTTTTTTATTTTACTTGCGAGAGCAAGTGTCTTGTCATTGGAAAGTAGACTTTTCAATGACAAGTGTCTTGTCATTATGAACTACAGCAAAATTTCGATCTTAATTGCAGTTGCGACAAAACGATCTACGATACATAGTCAGAGTAACACCGGACTAATCGATTGCCAAACTAACTTTAAGTGCTTCACATTGTCGCTATACCTCAACTGTGAATTTTCGAAGCATGTAGACCAAATGATCCAACAAGTCCAGACAAACTGAGAAAGCATTTTCCGAGCAATATGTACTGACACAGCTCATTTGTTGTCCAGTGTTTCCAATCCAGCTCATTAAATGGAGCCAACAGGACGTGGTAGAAGAATATTTAGAACCAGTGCACGCCAATTTTGATCTCAATGGTCGTCTGATTTATTTTAAAGTTCGATTCAATTCATCTACTAAGAAAAAGGACATTATGCTCTCCAAATACGTAAGCAAAAATGGCGTCAAAAGCGAACGATTTTTATCGTAAGTGGATTTTAGTTTGTTTTCCCAGCGGAATAGAAAAAGTTCCCTTTGATTCAGTTTTCTCAAGTGATTTTAATTTTATTTGAAAAATTCCAATCGTCAGTTGGTTTTTAAATTCAAAGAGCTTCAAAAGCCATATAATTTTTTCTTCAAGAAACCAGATAATGAAATTTTTTCGAAAAACAAGTCGGGCACTGGCAAAAAAATTTGTTGGTCATTGTATACCAGATAAAGTGTGTTCTGCTTTACTGACGATTTTTTGATTCAGTGTTTTTCTGATGTTTTATTTTCCTTGCGCTCAATGACACTTCTCTATTTGTCTGTCGGCTAAGTTCAAAAAGAAACTTGAATTGATAGGCTATTGCTTAACTTCTCTAAACAGTTCTTCGAAAATGTCTGTTATATTAAGATTGTAAAGCCGCTTCTTCACACGTACTGAATGTTTTCAATCCTCTTGCCAGATGATTGTTTTCAATTTTTACAGATTTAGATCGTGTGGTTTTTGCAATTTTCGGGAAAAGCCTTTGGTTGTATGGTTTTTACTCTTGCGATAAGCACGTTTTTTTTTGGGTACTGTACTTTTTTCCCTAAAAAATTTTATTCATAGAAGAAATGTTAACCTATATATTAGCATCAACTGCTGAGGTAGCAGTATATTTAGTTCAGTAGTTTTATGTCGGACATGTGTTTTGGGCACTCATGTAGAGTTTTTTAATTCGTTTTTCTGTTCTGAAATATTCAGTAGATATTCCTCTTTAATTCTCTCGGCTTATTTTCTTATCTAGAAGAAATATTCGAAAAGTGTAAATCAACAGACCCTTTTTTATTTTACTTGCGAGTAGAAAGTAGACTTTTCTCGTAAACAACAGTTTTTACAAATCTTAGAAATTGAACTAGCTTTACCATTGAATCCTAACAAGTTCCAGGCTTCTTCACACTTATTTGTCTGACTTTCATTTGTCTGCTTCTTTTATCGGCTTAGTTGCCGCATCGCGCATTTTCTTGAGTCTTAAACATTTTTCTTTGTAGGCGCCAGTCATGTTGATCTACTGGTACAATTTTTAAATTTACACGTACTGAATGTCTGTTATCATTTTTTGTCGCTCAAAATTTTAATTCAGCATAAATAGTTTCATTTTTGGATTTATCGGCTTAGTCATATTATTTTGTGTCATTTGAAAGATGGAAAGCGATATATTAAGAAAAATTAATTCAGATCGGTTGGGGGCGTGAAAGATCAATGTTTTAAGAATTATTCGCCCAAAAAATGTTTTATGGATTTTTTTTCGTGTTTGGCTCTGCTGGTGCCTACCCAAAAAGATTTGGTTAGTAGCCGCTCTGTGAACAAGCGTAAAAGCTTAATTAATCCGGTAGTTGAGATTCATGACTTTTTCCGAATTGATTTTTTCGTTTTTTCAAAAAGTTTTTTTGAAGTAGTTTGTTACCGCTTTTTTCAGTCTGTTAAACAACCGTGTTTGAACTCATTGTTGCTTTTGGTTGTGCGACTGGCGGTATATTTATTTTTTTTGTTGCAAATAATTGAGTTGAAAAGTTTCGCTTATTTTATGGTCAACATCTCTTTTTGATGCGGATGACTCTGGGATCTTTGACTGAGGTAGGATTCGAACCCACAACCTTCGTTTTAAACGCTGAGCGTCCTACCAATTTGGCTAAAGCCACTCCCCAGTGGTGATAAGTAACCGAATATTGTGATTTTTGTTCTGCAATCACATTCCATTGATCAAAATAATAGTTCTTAACATTTTTTAAATTTTCCATTGAAGATATCGAATCTTTGAGTTCAAATATAAAAATGTTTTTTTTTTTTACCTCCAGTTATTTTTTGTTAAGTTTTAGGGTTTGAAAATTGCCAATTTGGCCATGTTCTGGACAAATTTAAAATCACTGTGAAGAATTTTTAAGGTGATCAAAGCGTAACGCAGTTTTCTTTGGCTGGCAAATTTTCCCGCACTAATTTAATCCAAATTCAATTGAGGCAAGCTAATCGGTGATATTTACACTAGCGGCAGCTTAATGTATAATCACGAACCTTCTTTTTTTCCAACGCAAATAATGGCGTTCATTAAAAGTGTTCATGTCTTTGGAGATTCACAGTAGAATTATAAATTGCGTATGATCTGTTCTCCTTTATTTGTGGCTAGTGTCTGATCTTCTAGCTTCTATGAAGCTTCAGTGGCTGAGTGGTTAGTGTGTGTGACTCTTAATCTCAAGGTCGCAGGTTGGAATCTCAGACGTACCCGAATTTTGCTAATTCGAGGCCTATTTGTACCTTTTCCTGTTGCACTTTATAAAGCTGCTTTTCGTCGTGTTCTGGCTAGTGTTTGCGAAGCTAGAGTGTACGACTCAAATTTTCTCACTTAATGTTTGATATTTTCAAAATTAGTTATTTCACTACTTTTTACCGACGTGTTTTCGGTGCCGATTAAGGAGCCGTCGGAATATTCAGGGCTTTGCATTGATGTAAGAGCAGTCTTGTGAGTTTTTCAGTTCCTATTTTGCATTGAACACTAGTCGGAACACTCGGTGCTATTTGCAAAGACATTAGCTACTCTTGTTTTGTTTGAACAAATTGTGATTCTATCCTTACAGATAAATTCCAACGCTTGCCTTCACTCTCGCCCATTCTTGGCAGAGCATTTTCTTGTTCCACTAACTGTTGTAAGTTTGTCGTTGTTTTCTGTGAGAGCGTTTCGTAGAGTCACTCTAAGTGACCGCGACTTGGTAACGCGTTTAAGCTCATTTGTTTATGTTGGCTCAATGGTTTTAGAATAACCTGGATTTGGGGTTTTTGCCTGTGTTGAATGATGGCTTTGCAGATCTGCTCTGGTGGAAAAAGTAAAAGGCAAATGGAATTTTTCATAAATTACATTTTGCCATTAATAATGGTTTGCTCTTTTTATTCAGTTTTTTTTTAAAAAAAACTTGTTTTTCTGACCAAAGCTGATTCATTTTCTGAACAGCTGTTTTCGATGATCTTTTGCTATAGCTCATATTTTTGTTGTGCTAGTTCAACATAGTTTTATGTATTCAAGATAGTTTTCAATGAAGTAAAAGTATCTTTTTTTTAGATATTCATATGTAGATAAAACTTCGATAGATTTCGTATCCTTGAAAATCTAATTACTTGGATTTCTTATTCTGTACATAGATCATTCTTCATCGTGCCGTTCTCTGCTTTATTTGTCATCATAACTGTGAGATTTGAATAAACTGTTTATCATATTATGGTGAATATTGGATGGTTAGTCATGTACATAAATTGTCACACATAGAAAGAATTGGCATGGCTACATTTACATTTGATTGATATGTTCACATCGCGTCTCAAATTACAAATCAAATTTGTGCGCATTACCAAAGAGAACTAAGACGAACTATCTAGAATTAATCGGCAAATAGTACAATTCGATCAGAACCAGATGCTAAATTGAGAACAAATGTATTAATCGCAGCAGCGTCGATTTGCCCGCTAGAGCTTTTGAGAAGAGCAAATTGCTTTGTCAAGTTAGTTTACTCCAGGTTAGATACCTAACCTGGTCTATATACACATCGCCGACATGTCCATCGAATGTTCTAACACCTATAACCAGGAATCTCCTGCGATACCTGAAACTCAGCCCATTGATATCGGAGAACATGTTAACATCACAATTGCTGACGACGACGATTTGAACGACGAAAACGATCAAAAGCGTCGAAGAGTGTTTGACGCGACTAATCGTGAGCGAAGTGTATCTGATTTAGGATTTAGTTCGATGGGAAGATATTCTTCATTCGGTTCCCCCGCAGGTACTGTTCAAGAACGAGGCCATCGATCGGTATCCCAAAGAAGCTCCTCGAGCAGCGGCAATAGTGGATCTCAAAGCAACAAGACACAGACAGAAAAAATCGTGTCTGTCGAATCATGTCGCTATCGTCCGTCTGCTGCTGATGACTGGAATCAGGATGACGCAATGAAACTGTTGGCGAGGGGCAGATTTAGTCATACGAGTGAAATAGTGAATTCTAGAAGAGGCTACTCCTATATCGATAGTCAGTCTGTGGACTCCGAAAACGACCTGCTCTTACCCCACAACTACATTTCATTCCACGGTACGTCTCCATGCATTCTTTAGATTTGATTAGTTCATGAATTTGCAATCATGTTTCATGGCCTAAGATTCAAAGTGGAAATGTATTTAATCATCTTAGTCCTTTGGAGAGTTTCAATTCTGTATTGATAGACTACTCGTTGATTAACTTTTGAGATTGTGTTTGAATCGTTTAAAGAATGTATGCGACCTGATTGATCAACTTGATTTTGTTTCATTATGCTAAAGGTCAGTTCTAGGATGGTCAGTATGAGCGATATTTGTGGTGTTTCGTTGTTTTTGTTTATAACCGTTCATGATTTAAATATCATAGAATGAAATCATAGAAGAATTTTAATTACAATTGTTGAGGTTTATTTGCCGAAATTTAAAAAATTTTGCGACGATTCTAAACGTTAAGTGCTCAATTTTTGCCTAATTCCATTGGATGAGACAATTTGTTGGCATGCTATGGATTAGTTTAAAGACGAAGAATTTTTGGACAAAATGTCGTTTGATGGCCAATCAAATAATAGCAACTCCTCCGAGATCTTCCACAGTGCTATGGGGTCTCGCGATAGCTTCGATGACAAGAACGAAAACAATGACGAGCCAAATTTTCACAAGACACCACCCAAGTTATTAAGTGACAATAATACAGTGGTCGCATTGACAATACCGGATTCTGCTAGAGGCATTACAAGCAATGAAGATGATTTAACTAGGCATTTGCCAACATACCTGACAGCACCCTTATTGAGTGGAAACCTCGGTGACAATGGTCTTAGTTATCACAGGGATTTATTCGATAGGAACAGTTTAGGAGGCACACCTAACAGTGACTGCGATGGAACATTTTTCGAAGATGAGTTTTCAGAATACTGTTATTCTACTTACTACGAGAGAGGGTACATATTAGACATAAGAGTATAGCTCGATGCTGCTTCTTAAATTTAAGCAAGAAAGTTATTTTGGGTCTGTGTTTCGGTGAGATTAATATGGCTTTTCTTACCATTTCATTGCCAAAACAAGATTGCAGAATTTTATGCCGCAGTTTTTGCTAACATTTTTTAAAATGCAGTTCGTACATTTAAGTTAGAAGCATCTTTTATGAGTAAATTACACATCACAGGCTCTATCTATTTGCGCTTATAAACGTGCATTTTTCGCTGCCTGATATATAGGAATAAACTATGCATGAGTAAAGTATACGGAAGTTGTCATGGCTGAATTGCTTAATTATGGAAATGTTGGCAAGGAGGTCCGAGCTCGAATCTCGTATTATAAGGTTTTTAGAATGATATTTAGGTTTTCTTGAGCTTTTTGTCTTTTGCTATCTTCAGAGCTTTTGTTTTTTTAACCAGTTTTCTTACTTGTGATTGCGGTTTTCACCTTTCCCTTTTGTTACAGGAAATTAGGTTTCTCTCTAAACAACTAGTTGAACAGACTCACTTTTTATCTTCTTTCCTTCCTTTTGCGATTTCATTTTCACTCTTGTGAGAACAAGTGTTTTGTAATCGAGAACCAAACTTTTTATTTTTGAAACTTAACAACTTCCAGCCTCCTTCCCACTTGGCCTAGAGAACGCGATTGTCTTTAGATCCTAAGGTATAAGGTTCGAGTGTCGGCCGGACCTTGTTTTTTTCAGTATGTGTTTGAAATCAAAATTTTTATCTGAGTAAGATTGAATTGCCTGCCGGACTTTTGTTCGTTTACTTATTTTTTGTCGGTCTAATTTTTCAAGAAATAATTTTTTTCGAATTCAAGTAATTATTGCTTTCATTGACTGTCATCCTGTTATTTTTTCCAGTTTATCAACTCGGATTTCGAATAAGTTTTTTCAACTGTTTATTTATTTAAATGGTTTCGGCCAATTTTTCGTCGGCTGAAGGGAAAACAATTCAGTTGGGTTGTAGGTTTAAAAGTTGATAGTTTTAAAATTTAATCTCTCTAGATTTTTCTTTGACATTTTTGTTTTTGGCTCAATGGGCGTGTCTATATGGTGCATTGGCGGCTTATTGGCTGCTCGCTATATTTTAAAAGCTTGTTTAACGCTGATGGTTTTGTTTTCGACTAACTTTATGAAGGATATCTTTAATGTGCCTATGAATTCCTGAAGTCTCAACTATGAAGAGTCGATACTTTCTGGGAGAGGGAGTCCAAAAGTTTTTTGGAGTCCGTATGCGTGCTATTTTTGATAGGTCCGGTTACATGAATGATTAATGATTCTTGGGCAATTATAAAACTTTTGCAGTCTATTTCATGATGGCCGTTTTGTTGCAGCGCGTTCAAGTAGTAAAACGATTTAAAAAACCCTTATTTGTGAGCAAGCAAGGCGTATAGTGAAAAAGTTATCGATTTCATAAATTGGTTATTACACGAGATTTTAAGATAATTGAATTTGATTTTCGCTTAATGGATTTTTGTACGCTTTCAATTAGAATTAGATTTCTATTCATTTTTTCCCCAATTTTCCACCATAAGATTAACTAGCAAAGGAGAGTTCGTTTAGCTCCTAATTTTTTTAAATCGTAATTTTTTGCGAGCACGTTTTCTAATTAGATCCTAAGTCACTGCGTCTCATTATTTTTGCTCTTTTTCTCCTCAATTATTTGACCAAATTAGACCATGTCTTGCAGACAATGGTTATTTGTCACTATTAAAAAAACCATTATTTTTTGCGCAGCCGATGGAGAAGAGTAGTAACAAATGGTTCAACATACGCGCACCCACAAACACGAGAGATCTATAATAGGATAGATATAATTTGAGCGAATTTTTTGGCGAATTTTTAGTATGTATATACTGCCATTTGAAAGATCAATAAGTCATTGAGCTACTGCTTATTGTAACTAGCACTGAAGGTGAAGACGAACCTTATTACTACATGGACGAGTTGCTCCCAGGGCCTCCGCGGTTTCCGGAAACGGCTGAAATTTACGTAGATCTACCTGGAGAAGAGGATCGACCCGCGACAGACGGTGATACTGTTTCATCTGATAGCAGCTACGCGAGTAGGAATCGATACTGGTGTCACCTAGATACGATCCACGAACTAGAAGAGCCGCAGCGAACTCAAGAGGAAGCTCATTGTGACACTTCAAGTGAAGGTTACGTAACGCCAAGTGAAACTGAAGACGAGAAGGATGAAGTTACATCACAACTGACGTCATCAGTAACAAATTCCCACGAGAGTTTCAGTCGAAGCGGAAGCAGTAGTGTAAGCAATGATCGTTTCCAAGCACCTATTGATATTCACGCACTTGTCGAAAATGACACGTTTGAGGATCCCCAAAACTTCGGGTTTGATGATAACACAACGGAAGCGCCTGAGTTTTCAATGAGATCATACAAAAAAATTTCCAATGCCAATAGTGACTTGGCCGGAAGCGTTACAACAGTAAGAAAGCTAGACGAAAAAGTAAGAAGCGCTACTTGTGAGTCTGGGACATCGCTTAGTAGCAGTGATTCGGATAATGACAATGGAGCTACCCTTCAATTACCTAATTCTGTCATGATTTCCAGCTTGGCTAGGTTTGGAGGCAGGTCAAACTCACAACTCGGTCCCTCCAATGATCATACTGCCAGTGAGTGCTGTGATAATATGTCCTTGGCTGTGTTCAATTGTGATTGAATGCTTCAAGTTGAGCATTTTGAATATCATGAATTGTTTTAAAATTATTGTTTCGGCCACTTCACGAAGTGAAGGGAAGAAACTATGGAACAGGTAGTGTTTTTTTTCAGCCTAATTTGAGGTACATCAATAAAAAACTCACAGGGGTCAAGTGTGGTATCATATCAAAGCCCTATTGATTGTGGCTTAGGATCCAAAGTCCTGTTGATCGCGATGCTGATCTTCTCACTAAGCGTTGTTTTACTAATCCAATTTTACAGTTATTTTAATTTAGCGTTTATTGTCTTTCATTCATGCAGTTTTTCATCTGATTTAGTCGTACTTAAGCAAAGAATAAAAATAGAAACTTGAAAAATTGAAGAAAAAAAAATGTTTTCGTGAATCAGATTCTGTTCTAGTTGCGCAGCAACCGGTTATCCTTGTTCTCATTAGTAAAACTTTTCTGTTTGGAACCTGAAACTCATTCGCTCCTTTCAACTTGTCTCTGATTGTACTTTATTTACATATTTGAATGACGTTTCGTGACACCTTTGTTCATTCGTTTCAGGTGCCAGTGGTGCTGTTAGAAGGCAGTCTGAGATAAACGCCAATAGAGAAGCTTCAGCCCAAAGTAAGCCAATTTCTTTGCTAAGTTCATCAATAAAATACTGGGTTCCAAAGATGTAAATTATTACACAAAGAAATGCTTGTGTTAGAATACTAGTTCAGTTTTTTCCATCTCACCATGCATAAATTAGTGCTCAACTCAATTGCTCACACTTAAACTCAAACTTATTGATTTAAACATCCGGAATCTGAAATAACTTGATGATTTAATTCAGAGTTGATTGAGGATTTGACTTTGAACGAGGAGACAATTCAATGGGCTAAGGTCAAACTCAGATACCACTTCATGAACCCGTGCCAGAAGTACAGAGCCAAGGGAACTAAGCCCTTCAAACTAATTGTGCAAATCATCAAAATCATATTCGTCACTTTACAGGTAATTGATTTTTCAGGACTTCCGTTTTCAGTCTTGAGTTTTGGGAGAAAGTGAAATGGAAGATCGAAAATTGATTTCAAAATAATTAAGTTGATTTCTAATCACGGAAGATAAAAAAGTCTTTAGATGGATGGTAAATCAATTTCATCGCGTTTAACTATACCTTGCTAGCGCTAGCCATTATAAGCTTAATTTTGAGAACAGGGTGGGGTTTTCTTTGAATTTAAGTTTAATTCATAGCGATGAAAAACGAAAGTGTTAAATTGAGTAAAATTTGTTCAAAGAAGTTTTTGGCAAATTGTATCGAAGTTTGCCGCGTTTTAATAGAAGCAACTGAAGTTCTAGATGCTGCCGGATACAAGGCGCTCTTTTAAAACCTTATCCTACTCCACCTCACATAAGCATCACCTTTAGGGTGAAACGAGGGGTTTTACAATGTTAAGTGTATGATCAAATATGCTTGTTATGACAAGTATGCTTGTCAATCAGTCCTCATGCCAATTTTTGAATCAATCGGACCATGTGAACAGAAAAAGTACTTGAGAAGAAATTCGCAGGAGGTGGAGGAAAGGAAAAGCCGGATGCTATTCCCATAATCCAAATTTGTTGACTAACGACACAATTTAAGACATTATTTCATAGATTCGATTATTTCAAAGATTCGATTGTTAAAGACATTATTACAATAGTAGATTCGGCAGATTGTTCATTTGCGATGTGAAAATTTTAAAAGTGTATTATGTTCTGCTATTTGAAATGTAGTGTAGCGGGCCTGATAGTTGATTGCTTAAAAGAAATTTTTAGTGTCAGTCATTTTGAGGAAAGGGGCTGAAAACGGCAAGTTAGAATAAAAAAAAACATGACTATTTTGCATTTAAGCATTTTTTCGTGGTTTTTATTTTTTTATTTTTTGAAGACAATTGGAGCTGTTTATGCCTAATTCGCTAAATTTCTAGGCGTTCGTATAGTTGCATCATCAACGTACAAAAAAGACACTAACTTGAAGAAAAAAGAAAGATGTTTTTTTTTGAGAATGTGGTCGTTTTGTTTTCTACGCAAAATCAGCTGCCACAAATAATCATTGAACTGGGCTGAGTGATATATCATATTAAAGGCTTTTCAGTCGTGATTCAAACGATATTAAAAAATTTCAAAAAAAAAATTCCGGTGTCGAGAAAAACAGGTTTGAAGTTTTTTTTTGTCTAAATTCGAACGAGTTCAGCGAGTGAGCGAGCGCGCTTATTTATGTTCAGTTTAGGCCGCTTAAAATGGTTTATTTATGCTTTATTTTAGTTTTACCTGAGTAAAGTTGGTTTTTGGAGTTTTTAATGCCATTTTGGGAGTCAAAAATCCAAAAAAAAATTCCTGCAAAAAATATTTGAAAATTTTTTGATTTTTTTGTGTTTCTTGTTTCTCTTGTCGTTTTTCTTCAAAAACTGTTATCATGTTTGCCTTAGTTACTTCGAATGTCGAATATACCTAAATTATAGTGTTATGTCAGATCCTTTTATCTCACCACGCCGAAAACACTACACTAATTTAAAAATAATAATTACTTTTTTTCTTGTTTTTTTTTTATAGACTGTGGTCGGAACATTCTGTGCGACTTCCACAGTAACCAGCTATCCTTGTTAACTATTTGCTCGTTTCTTGTGGAAAAGGGAAAAAGAAATTTGTTACAAGGCATTTGCTTGTCATTGCTCGTTGAATAAGTCCTGGGGTGGGGGGGGGGGGGGGTGTATTTAACAAGATTCAGTGATTTTCGGTTACGCCGTTCATCAGGATTTGTTCGTCGATTTTTTTAGTTTAAGATTACTTCCAGTTTAAGCTCTGGCTTTATTTCTAGCTGGCTCTATTCAGCAAGTATCAGTTCGACTTCCGTTTGTTCATAGACGGCAATTTCCAGACATTCGATCACCTATTTCTACTAAATTGGGACTCAGACTACGCTGATCCGGTCCAGAGGGTCCCTGACCCTTACGCTGTCTACCACATTGACAACTTCTATGCATCTGTCAATTATTCCGTCACAAGGTAAATTACTGCTGATTGTTTCAGCATCGAGCTGTGATATAGTTCTGGTTTTTTTTTTCCATCAAAATACGCCATGTAAAGATTGAAATAAAATTTTGAAAGTTTTTGACTAATTATGGTCTCTGGGTGATTCAGAAATAAAAACTTTTTTTCATGAGCGTTTTTACACAATTGTAGAAGAAAAGTTCCGGTTTTCAACTCGCGGTTAGCAAGGGTATTGTAATCGGGTACTAAACTTTATTCCCGCTAAACAGCTGTTCTGACAAACAGCTGTTGTGATAAACACAAATGTCGTGATAAACTTATTAAGGTTAATGAACGCAGTGAAGAATTTTATACAGCTTTCGTAATTTTTTTGGTTTTTTCAGGAAGAAGTCTTAAAATGCTCTAATAATAACTGTAGATGAGCATTCATACATGTGAATGCACTTAGGTATATATGCACTTTTTGAGTTCAATTGAAATTCATCTGCTGAATTTAACGTAAATAGTATTCTCCAAATACGAACGTGGAAATGGCCCAAAAAACGTGAACGATTTCTAGTTTCGAAAGTGGAATTTAATTTTTAGATTTCCAGGTGAATATAAAATTTGCCAATTGATCCAGTTTTCTCAAATTAATTTAATGTTACCAGAAAAGTGCTAATCATAAGTTTTTACAGAGCAGAAAAGTACCAGTCATAAATTGATTCAAAGAGCTTAAAGGGCATCTGTTTTTTTTTTTTTTTTGAAGTTAGAAAGTTGAGATTTTTTTCAACAAAGTCAATATTTTTTTGTTTAATTGCGTTCGTTACTCTTTTCCATCTGTCAGTTGGCTTTGTTTAGATATACTCATAAAATAGATATAAATATGTTGTATCTTGAATCAATGCTCTCAGTGGAGCAATTTTAGAGAAAGATACTTGAATGAGATACCACTTATTCAAACGATCTCTTCAGAAGTATCAATTACCGATTTTAAATATTGCGAATTTCGATACTCTGTCCCTGCGTGGATGAAAAGTTTCACGAATCTGCGATTTCGTTTAGGCCGCACCTGCTAATTTTCACGAAAGAAGTGATCGTTATAGGTTTCCCTTTGCGACATATTCAAGCAGACCGAATCAAAAAGGTTAACGTAATTCTTCAATTGAAAAAAGCTGACAGGAAATTTCGAGGGCTTATCGCATTCAGTGTAGAAACGAAGACTTGAAGATAACGTGCGTTTTGGCCAGTTTGCGTTTAGCGGAATAAAGTGTTCTAAAAAAAATTGATTTCATAAAGAGTATTCTGAAGGAAAAGATTTTACACAAAAAATGAGTTCTGAAATAGATCGTGCATGCTATTTGGAAGAAATCGAGTCAGCTGGTTCTGTCATTGTCACTCTGCTGCCAACTAGAATTAAAAATTTGAGCCGCTGGTGCTTCTTAAAGCTCCACAGGTCTGAAGTTTTTGTTCGCTTTTTGAGAGAGCTAGCTGCCAGTGCCTATATAGGTTCTACTGAGCTCTTTCAATTGGTTTGAATGGATATTATAATTGTTTTTTTTTTCAATCCTTGTTTTTCGGCCTAGTTGTGTTAAATAAAGCCGAAAGAGGTTCAAGCAAGGAAGTGAAAAAATGCAAGAGAAGACACGACAGTTATTACAGGGCCCCGTCATCCGAAACGCCAGTTATTACAGAGCCTTGCCAATCTTACGTTTCCAAGATCAAACTGCTATCGGAAAAAAAGTGACAAAAAAGAAAGTTCAACGAACGCCTGCTAAAAAGTATCCTGGGAAGAGGCGAGATATCCGAACTGGTTCAAAGTTCAGTAGACTAATCCCTACAAACGGTCACTCCTCAAAGAGAGCAAATTTAGTCAAGTTTGAAAGATACTATAAAAAGCCATTGAAATATCGCGGTCGCTGGTGTGAAATTAGAGCCGAAGAACGAAATGAGGGCTAATCATGAGTTTTAGAGAAGATAAACATCTTTGAAAACGCTGTCTGATTAATTTGGCTGCTTGAATCAACCAATCACAATGGAGACTATCGCCAATTGCCAGAGCCAAGTGAAACAACTGCAAAAAATTGATTGATCTAGCTGAGGTAGTGGGAACAAGTATAAATGAAAGATATATCTCAATTGCCAGCAGTCAATCAACAAGGCCAACTTTGGCCCAATTTTTGAGTCGATTTTCAAGGATAGCGCTTCTAAAAACAAGAAAAAGCTAAAAGTTAGCGAGGGGATCAAGCACCTCAAGAGTTTCTGAAGACCTTGCTGTTGCCCGCATTAAGTTCTTCAATATGATGAAAACTGACCAAAACTTGGAAAATGGCTGAAAAAAAGAAGGAAAAGTATACTACAAAATGAAAGACGATTCAAAAATGTACTCACTCGAAGGTTTGTATGAAGGTGACCAGCAACTATATTATTAACCAATTTTTCCAAAAAAAACTGCGCAAATTCTTTTTGAAGTGTTATCCTTTAATTTGCTACTTGTGAATGAAACAAACTACACTATGGAACAGCAAAAGTATTAAGGTAACTTAAAGCGTGATAGATTTCTAGTCTTGAAAATTAGTTTTAACTTTCAGATTTCCCAGCGGAATAAAAAACATAGTTCATTCTGTTTTTTCTGTAAGGGTTAGTTTTATTTGAGTTTTCAGTGATCTTATTTTTTTTTGAATCTTGGAAAGTGTACAAAATTTTTTTCATTTTTTGTTATCTTTACCATTTGCTTGTCGGTGATTTTGTTCTTCAAGGAAAAAGTCTGTTTTTCACGCTGATATTTTTTCATTGTTCGACTTTTGATTTCTTTTAAGCTCACTTTAATTTCTTGGGCGATGTGGAAGGCAAATGGCAAGTTCCAATGATAAATGTGCCAATGGCTTCAAAAACGTGAAATTGGAGTTTAGTTTAGGCAGAAGAAATTGTCAATCATAGAAGGTTCTTGAATTTCAAAGAGCTCTAACATGAAATGATATACCTTTTTCCTTAAATTTAGAAGATGGAAGTTTTTCAGAAAAAAAAATAATTTATTTGTAACATTGACATTTGCACATTTTTTTCAGTTCAAGATGGTTCGAATGAAATTATTGCAGTGAGTAAATGAGTTTAAGCAATCTAACTCAAATTATTGTGTTAAACTGTTTCAGATTTTTCAAGTTTGGAATGGAATTAATCTGCAAAACATCCATGAATACACTGACTGCTGTTTTATTCCCTCTTGTAGGAGTCGATGAACGTAGTTCAGACTCTTATATAGGTCGTGATTTTTTTTTCAGGAAAAGTCTTAAAACTTGTTCAGGCTCAAATTTACGTTTTCATATTTTGACTTTTAATTTTAAAAATCAAGTTCATCTCTTTTGTTAAAAGGAATGCAAACTCCACTATCGAACAGCGATGGTGTAATTGTCACAAAAAACGTGATTGACTTCTTATTTCAAAAATTGATTTTAATCATCAGTTTTTCCAGCGAATGATAAAGTTTACTTGTTGTTCTAGTTTTTTCAATTTGGGTTTATCCAATCAACTTTTGTGAAAAAATGTCGACCATAAATTGTTCTGGAAACATTTCAAACTGAGATTTTACCAGATAACAAACCAGTATTTCTTTCTGTTTTTTTTTCATTGACTTATCCAATTGTCTGTTGGCTATGTCTTCAATGCTAGCCTTGCTGTGAGTTTGCAAAAACCATCAGCTACATTCAATAATTTGGGAAGAAAATTGATTACGGTATTTTTACTGTAAACTTTATCGAAACTACTCTTGCGTCCAACTAACTCATCAGCTGGATATTAGTTCTATGGTCCTTTTTTTTCAGACAAATCAATCGTTGCGATTGAAGTTAGTGGTGAATCGAGTTTTCAATTTATTCAACATCTTGATGTCTTCAGTTTGCTTCGGGGATTTTGCTGGAGATTTTTTTTCTGCAAACTTTGCAAAAGTACCTATCAATTTTTTGTAACAAAATTTTTCATAAATTTGTTTTGGCTTCTGTTTTTTTTCATTCACTATTTTGTTGAGTAATGTGTTTTTTGCATCCTAAGTGTTGCGAAGCTCCTCTTCGCCTCTCTCTGTAACGGCATTTCGCTCCAACTTGACCACTTGTCCCATCGTGCCCCAGACAAACCATGCCCCAAAGAATCGGCAGAATAAAAATATATTAATGAAAAAAGGACGCTGAACAATTAAGCTTCAGTTTATGTTCTTACTGCATTTCTTCACAGAAAGTCAATCTTACGCTTGCGATTAGCAAGTGTTATCGAATCGTAATTTTGACTTTTTTCGCGTTAACATCTTGTTTAACAGAATCACCTGGTACCTTTTCTCATAATGATTTCAAAGTTTTAAGCGTCTACGGCAAATTTAGCCTGGAGGTAACGAATATGCCTGGGACAGCAAAGGTCTTGGGTTCGAATCTGATCAGTGCCTGTTTTTTTCTAACGGTAAATTTCCGTTTCAAAAAAATGTCACATATTATTTGTCTGCTTATATTTCATCGCCTTAGATGCCACATCTTAGTTTTTTTGCTGAATGCACTTTTCATTCTAGTTGTTTTTAGTTTTATATCTCCTGCAATTTGTAATTCTACAAAGCTTGACTTCGTATATTTTTTTTCGCTTCAAATATTTTTCGACCAATTATTTGTCTGCTTTTCTGTTGTCAGCTCAGTTGTCACATCTTGGAATTGATGCGCGCATTTTTCCTTAATGTTGCGTTTAGTGTTTGATTTACTCCCGCAATTAAAATTTTGTCTTACCCTGACTTCGTGTTTTTTTTTTGTTTTTTTTTGGCCTATTTTTTATCGGTTTAATGACCTATTTTGGGTCGTTTCATGGGAAACACTATTTAACACTCTCATCCGCATTTTTCACGTTGATTGTTTGTTAACCAATCGGTTTGTTGAATTTTTTTCGTTATGGAAAATTGTTTCCAAATTTATTGGAAAAATTTTAGTTTTTTCTCAGAAACTTATACTGATTTTCCAAAAAGGGGTATCAATCAAAAACCGGACTTCCCCTGTGTGCCTGCATGC